GAGACCAGATCTACCTGTGAACACGAGCACTGTATTCTTTACGAGCAAATGTTTTTCGTCTTCATGCCAAGACGGGTGTCGCATTCGGATTTGGTAGTCGAGCTACTCCTAGGAGCATTTTTCTGGGTAAACCCACCGCTGTTCACAATGTTGGGTCAAAATCAGCTCAAGTTCTCGAAAAGGGTAGTGAAGGGGGACTGGGCAAGTTTTGCGCTAATTTCGCTCGTTTCCCTGCACGGCCGATCATCACTGGGATATCCCAGTGCAGGAAGAGAGTCATACTTTGACGCTGACCAAGGAGGATGTTTTAGGCGGGGAGGGCGTGCAGAAGAAATATTCACCGTACTGTTTCCAGCTTGGGATAACCTGCTGCCTAATTGGTGCACATGTTTATGCGCGCAGTGTCCTTGTTCACCACACTCACAGCGAGCTGGTGGGGTAAGGGAGTAAGGAGAATCCGAAGTCTTTAGCTGTGAATTCTGCGTGGGACTATAAGTTCGATTTCATGTTCCAGATGAAGAAGCAAGTCAAACCATGGTCAGGCGTGTGTCGCGGAATCTGCGACGTGGGGTCGCACTTGACCTCCCGGTAGACAGCAAGGTCGCATGTGCAGGTGGTTGGTCTGCAGATGTCAGTAATGTTCAGGGCAGTGTAACATTAGTGGAACACTGCCCTGGTTTTTGTGTCTCATCGTGGAGCGCGGTATCTCCGTCGAGTTGGGAATTTAGGACAAATTAATTTAGTGTAAAAGAAACCACAACAGTTATAAGTTCACGTTTGCCTCGTGGATTCCATCAGCTGGTTCAGAGACTTGTTTGCTCCTAATTGTGAATGCTGTCGCGATTCTGCATGGATTAGAACCACATGGCACACTATATAGCAAGCGCCTCTGCTCTTCAGTTCCTGTGAAGGGGTGGGAAGAGGTTTGGCGAAAAGCCTTTTCAGGTTTTTAGATGAAAATGGGGCAATGTAGCGGAGGGATCGTCTTGTTGCATGTCTTGCGTATTCTGTTCTGGGAACGAAACCCGCGACGAGCACACTTTTAATGTAGTAGTAATAGAGCATGAATATTGTGTGTTTTGGAACAATAAGTAGTCTGGTTCCAAATCGTATTACTGTCTTCACTTCATCACTAAAAAGTGTCTATTGAAAGGGTCAAGAGCTCGCTTCTCCAGAAAAATTTCCGCGCTATATTTCGATAAAGGCCGCCACGCAAACTGTGCGACAGCAATCAGCCCCGCCTACCGCTTGACCAGAGATCGTTTGCTGATGAAGTTATACAATTTTCGAGAGGGAAGGAAACTCAATGGGAGCTAATTGAGTCATGAAGCGCTGCAGTCTTGCAAAACGGGCATAGCCGCCGAGACAGGACAATCATCTCGATAGCTAACAGGGAGGGGGTCGTTTAGGCATCGTCTTTCGATTGCCGAGCTTATTGCTACCAGACCTATGTTGGAGATTACAATAACAATCCAACTTACAATTAGGCTGGCTTCCCTATTTAGGAGCTTATTGTACTCTGACGATTTCGAATGCAAGCCACGAAAGGAATTTTTTGCACTATCCTTTCTGAATTTGTCTCTTAAACATTCTCTCTCAGTTCCCCGAGTACGGCTCTTTATAAATCTCGGCAAGGCAGTATTCATTCAGGGTCCCTCACGGTAGGCCAACGCGACTGCAAATCTTCTCCGTTATGGATTTGAACCCTCACGGGGAACACGAAGCAGGTGACAAGCATGCCCTATTCTTGTCCTCCATACGTTCTTTTACCCTAACGCAAAGTAACGAGCTGTTTAGCCAATATATTTATCGCCACAGCCACGAGCGGTGATTTTGTCGCGCCATAGCGAAATATGATTCTGTAGGCCACCCCTGACGTATCACAGTCACCCTCTTTGTTATAAGCGGGGCAGACCATACAGTTGGAGTTGTACATAAGCCGTCGTAACCAGTTCAAAGTGCTCTAGCTTATTTGGTGTACATTCACGGTGGCAACCATGCTATCTAAAACCGTCCTCAGACACCTCTTGTTATGGAGTGGGTGGGGTGACTGGTCTACTTCATGGGACACGTATGGTAACACGAAAGAGACTTATCAGGCTACCACGGCGTCTGCTGTCCCACCATTTCTGGTTTTGTGGGTGGTCAAAAAAGTCTCGTAGTCCTTTCGGTACCTCCTGTCAGTTTCAGGAACTCCTCCCGCTTTTCATCTCCCAAGCAGACGTGTGCTTCAATTCGGAAGATGCTCCTAACAACAGCTTGTTTCATCTGGAGAGGGTGGGTTGAGTGGGTGTGGGCGATAATATTTTTGTTGCTGGGCTTCCTGTCAGGGCACGCCATCGTTGTGATCATCACAACAGGGGGTCGTATTTGACCTCGAGGGAGGGGGGTCGTAAGCGCGGGGACCTTTCTGAAGTGAGGGTGCAGCGATACCCAGCTGTCGTTCAGCTTCAATGATGAAAGACTTATCCATGTGAAGGACCTCTGAAGAGACCCACACAATACAGAAGCAACCTGCCAGCGCAGAAATGGGGAACGGGCGATGACAGGGAATATGATGGCCTCCCACAACGTGAATTAATATTAAAAGATAAAGGATAAAGTCTCCGCCGTTGATCAATCCCTTTGTGGGATGCGGCACGCATTCTACTTCCATTCAGAATCGTAGTGGCTTATTGAATGCGATGTGGCCTATACAATGACTTGCGGTGGCCAGCCGATGTACAAGTCAGTGTTTTATCCTCCCAGACGAATCTGGTACCATCTTACCGTCCCCGGAGGGTAGAAGGCTTGGTTGGCCTAGGCGAAAGTCGACCCGGGATTTGAACCCGGCATCGCGCGAGTGGTAAGCGCGCCACTTGTCACTACACCACCTCCGCGCCAATGAATATCCGCCATGAACTAGTGAACAGATGAAAATACACTTCCGAGCCTTTCTAACCGTGCAAAAGCACATCTACTCGCAACGAAGAAAGCCTTTCGTAGAAGTTACACCTTCCCAATAGCTCTGCGTGAAAGCGCTATGCATGGCGCAGAGGTGATGCCAATTGGCGTCCAATGAACTATTTCCTGGTATCCTTGGCAAAAACATGCGTTTTAGAAGCATACCAATGTCTTAAAGCCAACTGGAGATTTTCTGGCGAGGGGTTGATTTTTCGGGCCGCGGAGAGTGGTTTTTTATGATCACAAGGGGAAATTTTTCGAATAGCAGGCCTAGCGATAAAATGAAAGTTGTGCTGGAAAGTAGAAAGCCAAGGCCGTGTATGAAGCTTGCCATGGATGTCCAAAGCGTGGCGACTTGTGGTTGGCCCCCCATGATCACAAGAGGATCACAAGAGGATCACAACGGTGAAACTTTCTAGAAAGGAAATGTTTCAGAAATCGTTCAAGGTAACAAGAGCCAACCTAGCTCTACTCATTCCCACTTCCCCCTCTCCGAGAGTTTTACTTTCAACGAAGTTATAGGTGTTCAAAAAAGGGGTACTTTCGAGTGTTTGGCTTGAAATTGATCCCAGGTCGCAAAATAACGCGCTCCAATGCGCTTGTACTAGCGCGGTTGCGTGCGGATGAACGTGGTAATGACCGCGAGCAATCGCTATTCAAACGCAATTTGGATCGATATCGTTCTGTCCAAGCTTATCCAAGCCATGATATCTGAAACTGCTTAATTCATATTCTTTGTACCATAGTTCTTCCCCTCTTATTGGTTTTGAGAGTTTACCAAATTTCTGTTGAATGCGAACTACAGTAGTCTATCTCGTTAACTTCGTATACGGGTAGTTTTGGTGATAAGCGCTTTTCAGTATAGCCATGTTTTTTGCTCGTTGCTTCGCTTCCATCACCCTTTTCCGTCAGTGTGAATTATTGTTGCAGCAGATATCCAGCGAGAAAGCTCTATGTATGTTTGTTGCTTGAAAATAAGAGCACAGTAAATGTTTGTATTTCGTAACGAGGTAACTAAGGTGAGAGGATAAGCGGAGTTTGATTATGCTTCTTTTCTTTGTACCCTCGTGACAGGGGGTCGTATTGAGACCCTAATTCTGGGGAGGGTCGTAATTAGCGGGAAATGATCACAACGCAATGGCGTGCCCTGCTTCCTGTATTACTTTGAGGAAAGCATGGGTTCCTTGAATCTCCACCTGCATATTCAAGAATGAAAGCCAGTCATCTGAAGGTTCTTCCCGCGTCAGTTTTGGGTTCGGATTGCGAGTTTCAAGTCAAAACACTCATCCAGCATTTGTTGAGTAGAGCAAACCACCAAACAGTCGATTATTCACACTCCATACCCCAGGGAAAAGAGGACGTGGCGTACTCGACTTAAGGGTGGCGGTAGGCGCGCTTCTGGATGGATATTGTAGATTCACAACAGTTGCAACCATGACTTTGTCCAGTACAAGATAGGAAAACGCTTGTACCAAATGGAAATATCCCATGAATGTCGAATCCTGCGAGATGTTCACGTTAAGTGCGCGGCCACGCATACTTCATCGTTGGGGTGTGCAGTGTATGTAACGGCAATATAAAGGTGACCATCATTTCACCAACTGTTGCCTCACTTTTCGAAACTGGGTCAGAACCTTACATAGAAACATGGGTCAGAACCTGGCTAGAAATTTGTCTCCAGGTCCTGAACACGAATATGACACCCGTTCGGCACGCAAAGGCTCAAAAGAGACATCCCTCACACATTGCAAAAAATTGTCTCCTTCAAAAACCGAACTTCCACCTCGCGCCTGTGAGCAACTTACCACTACACCATGCCGCAATTGCAGACACGCTTTGCGATTACTTATGCAAACTGACTGGCAACCGAGCTTGACTCCTTGTCTCTTTATTTAAACAGACCTTCATAACTCCGTTCAGAAATCGTTCTGCAAATTTCGAAGGCAGATTTGAGATCAGCGTCCAAAAACACGTCCGGTGAGCTATGTCTCAATACAAATGCTCATTTCGACCTGGCGAACTTCCCTAGTAGATGGGACGCATGGGATGGTACATATTTAAGCAGCGCACCAATATGACATTGAGGAATCATGCGATCCAGTCAGGTGAGTTCGATCGATGGGGCTACCCACGCAGATGATGATTGGTTGTACTTTAATGGACCAGGTTTATTCCTTGGCGTCCAAATATTGCATGTGCTCATGTAATGTGCATTTATATACATAGTGAAATCCTTGTTCTTAACCAACATAGCCTCTGTTATTGCGCACTTAATATCGAGTTAATGAATAACTGAACAACATGTAGCAGTTGATGACACATGACACTGATAGCATAAAACTATTGACCCCATCATGATCATACACGTCAGAACAGCATAAAGTGTGAAGGCATATGCATTAAATAATATTGTTAACAATTTACCTCAGTTAAGAGCCAATGACATTATATAGCACCACATTCAATACTGAGAAGCTGATCTACCAGCATCAACGAGATAACAGAAAGGAAGAGTGAGGGTTCACATGTCGCACTGCGCGGATTATGCGGCAATGTGAGCGTAACCAACCACGGCTCGCTCACTTGATCGAGTTACATAATAACAGCATTAGATTACAAGATGGGAACCTGCAGATAAAGTTATGCAATAACAATGGCAGATAACGAAAAAAGATACGTTCTGGGTAACAACATTATAGTGGGATCCGTGCTGGTAGCAATGTTGTCGAGACGATACCGGTTTGCGGGAGGGGGTATATAACTAGAGAAGGCTTTGATGGATTTTCATCTGCTCGCCTGCGTGACCCTAATCTGGTCGAAGCTCAGGTGAGTGCTAGCGAGGCGGCTCCCCCTCTGAAAGAATGTGAGGTTATGGACAAAAGTTAAAGCTGGGTGGCTTTTAGCAACGAACTGCGCTTGTCCCTCAAAGTGGCGTAGGTGAGGGGTGCTTCTGTGCGTTATGTTGGCATCTTGCGGCTCAATACTTTCATCGGCGATTTGGCAAAGTGATTGCGAATCAATCTAGGTGCGATGAGTGAGCGGAGGTGCTCGACTCTTTCCCGCCTCCAGTAATGAGGCCTGACTCTCCCTGTCCACAATCGTGGTCGGAGCGGATCCGCATATAGACTTTGAAGATGACTTTTCCAACGAACGGAATACTGAGTTTGGAGGCTTCTTGAGCCCGATCTGCTCACTTTCGGACGAGAAGCTGAAAACCAGAAGTGTTTGCTTGAACTATAAAAGCGGGCGGGCACCGCGATTTGGATGGCCCTACATGGGCGTACCTTGTTCAGGAGTGCCGAATTCTGTCATGCTAGGCGTATTCATCCCACACGTCTTGAGGATGTATCGTGTCACTTTCTTCAACGAGTGATGTAGGTGCGAGGATGGAATGTTATTCCATCATCGATATAGAGTTCTACTCCTAGACCCTTCTGTAACAGCAGTCGGGTCGGCTTCGTCGGGCGATGGCGGTAGAGGGCGTCGTTGAGGTGGCTGGTACTAGGACTTATAGATGTTGCTTCCCCCAAGCGCGCCCAGAGTTACCCAATAGTAAGTCAGTGGGTGATCATTGATCTGGGCGGGCGATCGTTTTGACAAGTAAGTCAGTGGGTGGTCATTGATCTGGGCGGGCGATAGCTTTGACACTTCTGTCCACTTCTTGATGAAGGGGGAAGCATATTTGTGGAAAGTTATGGAGATGGGGAAATCCCGAAAGACACACAAAGATTGATATAATTTACTCTTCCTTCTGAAATCGATATAGTCAATGTGATCTCGAAAAATCCTCACGTGATGCTAACCCGATCTTAGATCAAAAGGTGACTTAAAACCCTTGTCTGACATAACAGGCAAAACCGTGTTCACGTCATCCAGCTTGGATTTCGGCACGTCAATGAACTTATTGAAATGTAAGAGGTGTACTAACCGTAACTTCTTGCCTTTGACGACTGATGAAGGGTGTACGTCCGTATTTTCGTGTAATGAGAACTCCTCTAATAACACCAGATTAAAGGAGATATGAAATCTCATCGTCACGTCACGAAATCTGCACGCTCGAGAGCAGTCTCACGATTCCAGTTATACTACGGCCTCGCAGATGAGGATATACAGGGTATAGAGTACCCATACACAGGGTGTAGAGTACCCATATCTTATAGTGGTCGAGATCAAAATAGATGGTTCGATAGCCTCCTATGCTAAAGAGCGAAAGTGAATCGATCCAGCAAAGAACTAACAAAGAGGGCTCACTTCATCAGTGCCCTTCTCTGCCACATGACTTGCACTTGCCCTTCTTTCTATCTCTTTCTCGGAAATACGGGCGC